AGATATAAATTAAATATATATAAAGTATAAATTTCCAGTACGACCTTGCGTGATAATAAGTATGGTGAAATTTAATGGTTAGAAGAATTAAAATTTAAGCCGATTTAATTGATGATACAATATAAGTGATATAACTCTTTTTTTTTTTAAGTCTTTCGACTAGATTCTCTTTTTATTCCTCGCCTCGAAACGATGGGCTGTTACTCCACACGTAGAAAATCCAATTGTTATAAGCTGCCTAGAAGCATATGTCACAACACTCTGGGGACATCTCTCGAAGGGTGGTTTTTTTCTGCGAGCGAACCCTTGATTTAGAGGGCGTGTTTTTCTCGGGTAAATTCGGTTAAACGCGTGGCACAATGGCCTCCCACTCGCAAAAAAGCAACCTGACCAGCGTGATTATTAGATCATTCTGAACATTTTTTTCATTCTCTCACAAAGTATCTCGCTTCCCCCCTTAGAAAAGATTAATACAAACAATCCGACGAGAAATTTCATTGGGACGCAACATTCAAATGGATTTTTTCCTCAACGGTTGCGGTTAATGATCGTGTTTTGGGCAACACGATCGAAAGGATCATTCGAGATCTCGCTTACGATTACAGGAACAAAGCGAGTCTTTTGTACGTGCCTCCGTCCCCCGATAATCTGTAAAGACGACGCGACTCGCGCCGAGTGAATTACAAAGTTCACGTCAGATCGGATCTCCGATCGCAGAAGGCAGCTCCGCTTTGAAAAACCGGAAGCAGCCGGCACGAGCCCGGAGATGCTCGTGGTTTACCAATGTTTCCAACACGCTCTTGCCTCATCTGCTTTCCACCCAGGTAAGGGTTATCCCGATACGAAAGCTGCACCACAGACAAACGTATCGTGTTTTCTGCCTTCATCCGTCACCGAGTTCGAAAACCCGCCGCTGGAAAATTAAGAACTTGGGCTTGTTTCAAATTCTCAGCTGCGGAAAAAAACCCTGAGAGTTCAAAAAAACTACCGAGAAACAAGTTCGGATGATAATAACGTCTTTCCAATTCGTAGCAAGCGTGTTCGCAGCATGAATGAAGACTTGAGGACAGTTTCGTCGCATTCGAGGCTGCGCACGTGGGTGACAGGTGACGGAATATTTAAACGCGACGAGCGTTCCACTGTTAGAGGCACGCGACGTGCATTCTATGCAAATGTTCCTGGCAGATGCGCGGATAACGCGCTGGGGAAATTTCTACGATTCCGCGTCTTGCGAATCGAAACGAACGAATGCCGCAGATTCGAAACGATCGCTTTCCCAGATTAATCCCGTACGCGGGTGTTTTATCGTGCGACGAGTGGTGCAAAAAATATGATCGCCAGCAGCGGGTGCGGCAAAACTCGCTCACCGAGAAGTCATAAAAAACGCGAAACACCTCGTTTCGAGACAATGGGCAACAATTGGAGAGAAAAGAACGCGGAGAAAGAAAGAAGAGAGAGAGAGAGAGAGAGAGAGAGAGGAGAAAAAAATCGAGGCGAGAATGGGGGGTAGGCGCAATTTTTTCGCGATATATTTCCGCAATAATTGTCGGTTAGGAAGCGCCGGTATCGAAATTCGCCAGGTTGGAAACGGAATGGCGACCGGCAAAGAGATAGTGTCACAGACAGAAACGTACTTCCAGCCGTGCCCCGCTACCTGTGTGCAAGTACCGAGGCCGTACCGACACGGGAACAAGTACAATAGACCAGTGTCGGGGACAATAGCCGTGGCCAACAATCAAATCAGAGCGCTATCAGCCGGCCACCCACCCCATCCGCGTTTATCCTTTGATCCGCTCGCTTGCTCGCTCGCCTGTTCGCTCGCTTGCTCGCTCGTGCCCCGGCAAACACTCCTGATTGCACACCCTCTGTATTTAAACAGAACCCCGAACTCTGCCTTCTCACCGCCCCTCTCACCCCCACCCGAGCTGCTCGTCCATCGCTCCGTTACACTCTGTCTTTCTCCAGTCGACTGCTCCTACTTTCGTCTCTCTTTTTTTTTTCTTTTTTTTTTGCGCTTCCTTCCTTCATCCCTCCAACCCTTAACGCGAGTTCTTCCTTCTCCCTGCCGGTCCACAAGCGGTGATTGCCATTTTTCCACGCGAATCTCAAATGGGGAAATCGTTGTTTGGCGATATACGAGTTCGGCAAGGGTGACGATGATCATTGTCATCGATCATCGTGTCGATGCTGTTTACTAAGCCACTTTTAAACCGAGGTCAATTTCTTTGCTTCGGTAATCTGTTATGTACGAATTGAACTCGATTACAACTGTTTCTCGTTGGGAAGATTCTCGTTTCAGAACTCTGAGCAAAAAACAATTGTAAAGCAAGTAAAATGGAAAGAAGTCACTCGATAGACTTGACGGATAATTGATACATTATCAAAGAAATCGTCAAAACACAAGATGCTATTCCCCGCGTTCCTCTTTTTACAGGGGACTATAGTTGCACCGTTTCACGTCCGACCTCTCTCTTTGTTCAACCCCTTGACACCATCGACCCTTTTCTCCACGGTGGTATTTAAAGTTCTTCAGGGGGAAAGAGAAGGGGTGAGAGAGTCATCAGCTGGTACAGCAACTGACTGTTTCTTTGCCTCTTTCTTTCCGAAACAATTTCTTTTTCGAAGCGCTTATTGATCCGGACGAGGAAGTTTCTGTAAATAGAAGCATCTCCGTGTCTAATTAAGGGCCCGTGTTAGGCACACCTGTGAACACGTGGTAGGAAGTGGAGTTATCACAAACGCACGTGCCGACGACTCGAAATCGCACGTGCGGTTACGCGGCGGATATGCATCGTTACGCAGAGGCGACAAGAACGCTCTCCAAATTAGAGAACGCACGTTTTGCTGATTGTATCGAAATTAACGGACTAGTCGCCTTGAATATCGTTGAAAATTTCCTAGTTACATTTGTAATTTCGTAGACGTCTCGTCGCCGGAATTCTAATCGCTTCTCTAACAATTCAGTGAAAATATATAACACTTTTTATATATTGAAAAGCACCGTAAAGAATATTATTTAAATCGAAATTATTTCAACAATTTGACAAGAAAATTGTAAATTATTTCCCTTGGTAGTTCATTTCCCGAAATTTCATTGCCCCTTACAGACAGTTTAAGAATACAGAATACCAAACAATTTATTTCAATCCTAAAGAATTATTTCACCCCTTTCAATAACCCATCGACTGAAATAAAACACTCAACACAGGAAGATGATGATTTTCTTTTCCAAAAATAGTTGCAACTATTGACGCGTAGTTTCGTGACGCGTGTCGCGAACACGAGCTAGGAATTACCAAGCGACGACGTCCTCCTCCATTTAGGTGGGAATCGCGGCAACTCTTCAATTCCGACGCGCTCACCTCGGCAGATATGTTTGCGTCGTGGGTTCAGGTTCGATCGAAGCGTAACGGGCCGTTGTCTTGGATGCGGGTACCTGGGGTCGCCGGCAAAGGGATGGAGAAGGTAGGAAGTAGGAGGATCCTACGAGGGACACCCCCTTAAAGCGCCGCGGAACCAGCTGATTGCGAGCTGGTTGCGACCTACGATCCCGTGCAATCATATCGTAAAACCAGTGTTTCGTCTGTACCGCGTTTGGTAATTTTCGTTGCCTCGAAGACACTTTGACCGCGTCGTGTAAACTTCATTTAACCTCGTGCCACGCACGTCGAGAATTTTTTGCCCCAAGTTGCAACATTTTCTCAATTTCAAGTACATTTAAATGTAACCCAGGCGAAACGAATGACAAGTTTATTTCAAGAGTTTCAGAAGGAAAAGAAAGCGACGAATTATTGTGTATACGGTTCGGTCGCTCGTTATGGTCCGCGAACCAGTTGCCAGCGCAAGGAGTTTGATCGAACGTATCGGGGATGACAGTTCGCGCAATGGGATTTCATCGATTGTTTTTACTAGTTATGGAATACTAGTGGAACTTTGAAATGGTTGAAACAAGTGGATTCGATCAACGGAAGTTTGTTTGATTAAATTATTTAACATTTAATAGCATAAACTTCGATCTTTCACGACCGGGGGAAGGTAGCTTATAGATATATTTGTCGTATAGTTGACAAATTATTTTTCAAAAATTTGGAAGCAATCTCGATTTAGAAGTCTTGGAGATGTACGAATTTTTTCAGAGACTAAATTTTTCTCCACTGAAAAATATATTAGACAGGAAAGGATGAAATAATTATATTTTGAGAATATCGTCTTCACAGTAAGGGTTAAATGAACTTTTGTTTCAATAAAATAGTATATACGAATAAAAGATGTTTAATTATAAGGTACCTAGAATACTTTAATATTTCGAACAATACATTCGAAATTATTCGACTCATCGTCAAGTTGCTCCAGAATCTCAAAACGATATAAAACGCAATACGCGATACTTTAATTTTCAAAAAAAAAAGAAACAATTTCGATGGACTCGATTAGACATCCTTCTCCAAGTCGGGCGATGAAAAAATTGCTCAAGGATCGGGAGATTGGAAGAGGCCGCGCCCGAAATCGCACCACGTGTACCGCAAATCAGCGATGGAAGCCCGATAAAGCCTGGATCGCGACGCGGTGGCGACCTCAAATAGACCGACCGATCGAACGATCTGTGACCGCCTATCCCATCGGAAAGCACCCGAAAAGCTTCGCGGTCGGCGTCGCGTCGAGACCATCGAGAGAAAAACATCAATAGCCCGAAATCGAGGGGGCCCCAATTCCGGAACACGAGCAATAAAGCCCGTGTCACGGGCGAGAGAGTGGTGGTTGCGCGGTGATCGATCCTTCGGCAGGTCGAGAGGGGTTGCTGTCTACAATTAGACACCCTCTGGCACACGGGTGAACCAGCACAGCCGATTGGTCGGGCATGGCCACTCCTCTAGGCGTTTCCTGACACCGGTCAGGACTAACCACGACGTGTACACCATCCACCAGCGGCAACGTGCTGGTTCCAGCTCGTACTTACGCACCAAAGAGCGGAGGCGCCTCAGTTCACGCAGCGACTTCGTGTCGCGCGCATCGACGTGCGTATCTGCGTAATCAATTAAAAAGGAGAGGAAAATCGTGTGCAATCTTTCTCGTTCGAAGAGATACGCGGCCAGGGCGCGTTGAAGGATCTGTGTGAATGAAGCTGGATGCTTGCTAGCATCTGGACGATGACGAAGGGACAAAGTTAGTTCTGGGTTAGTTAGGTCTGGATGAAGAAAGCTTGGTTAAGGGAAGTGAAGTGTCCTGGACAAGACGACGATCAGAGACTGTTGTGACTTGTATACACAGAAGTTCTGGTACCGGTGCAACGTCATCTAGGAAGCAGCTACGACTATGGTGGTGCTGTAAGTATTTAATATTCTGTCTTCTTCCTCTCACTCGGAATACGAATTAAATAGTACTTCTAGGTAGAAGAAAATTCATTAGAGTTTGGCAAGAAGGATTTTTTCAATGATAATGGTAAGGAAAACCAGGAACGATCGAGGTTCGTTGATATTTTACTCCGAAAGCTGTTTCCTTCGTGGTACGAAGTGACATGAACTTGTCGATAGTTTTTTTTTAAAGTTTGCGAGACCTGTTTCAAATCGAAAGGATACCTAGATGGTCAAAATTTGGACCAGGCGAAACTCAAGCAAGCTCGTGACGATAATTCGAAAAGCTCGGAGCAGGTGGCGACCATTTCAGCATCGATTTCTCTTTCTGGGCAAGCAGCAAGATTTCCCTAGTATCTAATCAGTGGGCGTACTGCGGGTTTCTCATTGGTGTGTGGGCGTTATCACGGGTCCGGATTGGTCGATGGATGTTCTAGAGCTGCCTGGTTCATGCATGCGCACTTCGCAATGCTTGAACACCAAGTCCTGAACCTGGTGCAAATTCGGCCGTCACTCGCCTATCTTACGACCAGACCTTCACAAATATCCCACGTTAGATTTGCAACTTTCAATTCTCCACCGTTTTACGAGTACATCCTTTCGATACTTTTACTGTGCTCCAAGTTCTATTTCTAAGTTCACGTCGCGTCGCGTTAAACTAAAATTATCGAGCACGATTAAACGTGAAATTATTCAACCCTCGGAAAGGGTTGGCGATCGGATCATCGAACGTTCATCTTCTATTTGTAAAAACATCCGATTATAGATGCAGCCGTGGCGCGCTATTGATCACGGTCCAACGCCTCGAAGACAGATTAAACGAATGTCCGTGGGTAAAACGATCTCCCTTTATCTCGAATCTCAAGAACGTTCTCTCCCTGTCCACCGCGGTGAAGAACTCTTTGAACCCGCTCTCTGCCTCCGCTCTCCTCTCTGCTGATCCACGCTCAGCCAGGATCCTTTTATACGTTGGCGACCAAATGGAAGCTGACAGTTTACCAGGTATTAATTATGCTCGCCCGTCGAGGATAACGCCTCGTTTCGCCACCCCTCTCCGCTTAACTCGAACTCACTTTTCGACTATTTTCGCCCTTGGTAATCCTCGACAAGAGATTTCAACTTCGGCCATTAAGTTTAGGAGCTACTTTCGTTAATAATTTTGTTTCGGAGCACGGATTCTTCTCGATCGTGATCTTTCAGGTTGAAATGATTAATTGCACTTTAAATGAATTTTTATGAAGCACGAGAGTGTAAATGTAAAAGTACAAATGCTGTTTTTGGAGAGAAAGTGTAAACAGGAAAGAGTTTATATATCGAATTTAACTTAATTTAGAAATTGATCTATTATATTTGTATATTATAATTATAATAGAATATTATAGTATAATATTTATAATATGTATTATATTATATATTATTATATTTATAATATACACGATATTTATAATATACACGATATAGTACAAGATCCTACATTATACATAGGTACTGTATACTTTCATATTATGGAATTTTTACGTCTCTCTTCTATAAGTTTAGTCCTATATTACATGTCAGGACCTATCTCAATGTAACATCATCTCGATCTAACTTCAACCATGTCACCTCGGCAATTCAATTTCAAACAAACCTACGTCTAATTTTCTAAACCGGAAGCGCAAACGGTGAAACAGCACGAGCATCGAACCGCGAGTCAATAACTGGACAAGAATTACACGCACGTAGGTCGATTCTATTGCGTTGGAAATAGAAGAAGACCAACTACACTGTTGCAACATTGACGAATAGAAGTAACAAATTGCGATCGGCCATTCGTATAAAATTTGCATCATCCTGATTTGTTCTCCCTCTTTTTGCGGGCAACCGCGAAGTGTCTGTCGCAGTGAGCAGCAACAACAACGGGGCGCGAAAAATCGCGAAGAATGGAATCGCGGCCAGGGCGAACGAAAGAAAAGGAAGGTGGCTCGATATAAAACTCGATGAACCTCAATGAAACGCGATAGAACCAAACAAAACCGGTCCAGCTGGATTTTTGTAAGTCAGGTTTTTTGCCGATTCCCCTCGCTTGCTCTCCTCCAGAGTAAATCGAGAAGAAGGAGAAGAAGAACGCGAAATAAGTGGAATAGAAGGAGACGGAGATGATTCGAGCGTGTTAGAGAGCTCCAAATTAAAGAGAAACACGTGGGGGGATTGATATTGTGCTCGCGAAAAACCGTTCCATTGCCAATTAACTGACGGATGATTAATCTTCCTTTATTTGTCGTCGCCTTGAAATCAACGTTTCTTTCAGAAGCTTCGTCTCACCTTAATGGCGCTTACGTGATGAATCAATTAAGATAAATGAGAAAGCTCAGGAAGGAAGTAACGAACGAGGCTACGTGCCTTGAGCAATTTATTTTTTCTCGATTGGCAGATATAATGAAACAGGTGCGTTTTGTCAGAGCAACTGCTGAAAACGATGAAATTTTTCGTTAGAGAGAATTTTCAATAACGTTGAAATTATTAACGACACAAAGTTAATAATTGGCGAAAAGTAACTGCCAATTACTGCCAACTGTTTTTATTTTCCTTCTTTGTACGTGTGCAAACGAAAAATTTCACACGAGAAACAAAAATTTTATTAGACAATATATTGATCATTTTGTTCGATCACCTTTGCCATCTTTCAGACAACTTTGTGAATGATTCCCGGTTCAAAAATGTTTTCGATGCATAATTTTTTATAAGCTTGTATAGCGATTTTTTTCTGTTTCAGAAGTCAGTAAAATATAACGAAAATGTTCCGCTTTGATTTCTCATTTTGAAATCGGCGCTGGACAAACGATTGTTAACGAGATAGTGCGAGATTTTCTTTTTTTTTAACAAGCTCAAATAATTAGGTACCAGATTACAAAATGAAGTTAATTACATTTTAAGATGTACACATATGTGTATCCATTTATTAATGAAATTATTCTTGGCCAACTCAACACATTTCTGAGAAATTAATCTTCGTTTCAATTCATAAATTTGAAATAAAGTAAAATAATGATAAATCGTACCATCTGCACGTCTTCGAACATTAAACTATAATATTCACTTATTTGTTTGCAAATTTGTTGAGAAAAATATTTCTGTGCCTATATTTTTATAAGCGTGCCACTTTTCAATTACATTTGCGTTGTGCTCAGAGGTGAATTGTGTCATAGAAAATGTGAAGAAACGAAGTTTGCGAAGAGACGAATTTGAAGTATGGAAGCTGGAGGAGTTAAAGTTTTCCCGTTAGTAACGGAATACGTGGTACTTCTCTGCTGTGTAATAATTCGAGTAAATATTCTACCTACGCGATATGTCTCTGCGAACCCAACCGCGCGAAATGAGGAAAGATCGAAATTTCTCAGATTATCATCTATCGTGTCGTTTGTATTCGATTCACTCGCGAAGAAAATTCAAATTCATACGTCGCAATGCTGCCGGCCGTTCAAACAAATGTCGTAGCGTGAAATAACTTGACGCTTGTAATCGGTTAAATTCGTATTTCCCTCGCAATAGAAACATTCCAGGATAATTCTTTTCTCGCTCTTCGGGCAACTATCGAGAAGAACTGAAACTACATTTCTTACTCAATGCTCGGCCGTACACGTCTCATAAACCTAAAACCACAACGAAAAAAAGGAGAAGCTGGACAGTTGGCGGGAAAGGCCCGAGGAATCAAAGTCCGGGCGAAGAAACCGCGAGAGAATTAACTCGTTTAGACACCCGTAATCTCGGGGGACGATCCCCAGCGAAGCGCGAGAAGACTAAGTCTCCCGCGGTCCATCGAGGCAAAGAGAAATCTCGGCCCTCTCGTCGCCGCGAGACGCTCGCGTGATATTTTAGCGGGCTCGCGGTATCAGCTTTAATATCTGAAATTCTGAAGGCGCCCCATACCGACCGGAACGAGGATGTAATCTCTCTCTCTCTCTCTCTTTCTCTTTCGACGAAGGAAAGGAAGCAAGAAGGCTGCCGCGAGTGTGTGTGCTTGGCTGACACCAGCCCGAGGCCTTCTCGAACCGCGGGACAATCTCCTCGCAGCATCGTCCGCCGATGTATCATCTTACGCCGGTGCTAAAGGCGATGACTTTATCACCGATCCGGGCAATCATTCACCTAGACTGCCTCGCTCTTCGTTCGTTCTTTCTCCCTCCCGTCGCCTCCTTCTCCGCCTCTTGTCCTCCCTTGTCCCCCTTTGTCGCGCTTTTCTCGCGAGGCGCGTCCACGCAACGAACGAACGCTTTGCGTGCCGGTCCCCTCGACCGGGGTTCCCCGACTTCTCCTCGTTGGAGCTTGGGTATACGGATAACGGCCGCTCGCAGCGAAAAATGCCCTGCGAAGTGAAATTATCGCCTCGGAAATTCGCGGCAGAGGTAGCCGGCTTCAACCTCCGCGTATCGAACCCCCTCGCTTCCGAACGGACGTGTTCCGACGAGGAAACCACGTCGGTTTTTCGACCTTCCTCCTTTATGAGAGGAGAATCTCGCGATCGGTCGCGGTTTTACGCTTCGACGTTTGCGGTCTGGCTCTGCGACCGCTGCACGATTCTTTCCCGTCCCCGGCAAAAGTAACATTGTTTGGCAAGAATGTCGAGGGTAGAGAGAGACTTTGTTCCTGGTAATGGAGCGAAATTGTCCAGGTCGATCGACGGATCTCTCGTTCGAGAGATGAAACGTGACGTATTGATTCTTCTGTACGGCTATGTTTTGCATGCGCGACATTACAATTGGTAATCAGAGTCAAGATTTCAATATGTACACCTTCTGAGCAACGATGATTGTAGATTTGAAATATGTAAAAGTGTGCAGAAACTTGCGTGAATGACTCTAGCGCGAATTTGTCAAGTGGACGATAATTATTTAATCATTCTAATGAATGATTGATAAAGTTTAAATAAAATAAATCGTTTAGACACATTAATCTTTCTAAAATGATATAAATAAAGAATAATAATCTGTTTAGTGAAATTATTGATCCTAATGATGAAATGAAATTTCAGCAATAATGAGAATAATTATGAATAATCAGAATATCGTCGTGGTATCCTTAGAAACTGTTAAATTACATCAATAAATATAAAATTAATACCAATACCAAAAAATATAAATTAACACCAGTAAATATTGTTAGAATTTGAACGACTTGATGAACATAATAGTGCGAACATAGCAATACGGCATATTTTGTCGCAGTGTAACATCGAGGATTCGTAAGACCATGAAATTATTAAACAGATGATTTCACAGCAGAATGATCGCAGAAATCATCGGTCGGAAAACGACTGGCCGGTTTAAAAAAAATCTATCAATCGAAATCCATCGTGGAACTTTCGCGATAGTTCGAAGCGGGTGAAGCGCGAGCGAACCTCGTCGAGAGTAGGTGTTCGAAGATCGTAAACGTCCGCGTACAGACTCGACTCGATAAAACCCACGGAAACTTTGCGTGCACGCAGCTAACGCGTAACCTATACAAACAATGTAGGAGGCGCGCGAAGAGACCTTCCTAAGGGGCCCCTTGAACTCGATCGCTCATTGAAAATCGTGAAATATTTTCACATATTTTTCGTACAATGGAACTCCGTTTTGTACAAACTAAATTCATTTGAATTCCAAATGTTAGTCCAATTTTACCCAATTGTTTGCTGAAATTCATTTACTTGAACCCGAGCTTCTATGAATAAAGAAAAAATAAAAAGAGAATTATATGAACTCCAATTATACAAAGTATTTACTGTCCGATCTAGCTAAATTCTACATTCAAATTTCAATTTATTAATAGAATTTATATTACAAGTTGTAACACACGAAACATTCATTCTAACGATTTAGATTTTTCGTGTAAATTCTAGTAAAAAGTGTATAATTCATCCATAATACGATCCATGCAAAATTAAATTTTGATTTATGCGTTTAGACTACGAAACAATTATTTAGAACAATTTCCAGGCGAAAACTTAACACTCATACGATCGTTTAATACAATAATTATTTTCCAAGTTTACATTACACTGCAAAACTAACAATTAAACGGAAAGTAGATTAAAATTAAGCTAAAACTAGGCATAAAAATTTTCAAGCAGAAGATTTTGGAATAAGTAATTTATGAATTTTTCCAACTTTCGCTCGACTAAAGCTTGGATTTCGGTGTCGGATGCACAGCAAAGTCACATCTCAATAAAGCGAGGTGCACCAGCTTGTTCGCGGTTCAGTTTGTAACTTTAGATAGCAGGTTGTCCTAATAGAACGTAGGCGAGCTGAACGTCTTCTACGGTTGTCTTCATGGTCAATGACACCTGACCGCCGATATTTATAACATTCGCGCCACGAGCAACGCCTATTTCACCGTCAAATTGAAATCTCCTGCTTTCCCTCGAAACGCGCGATAATTTACGCTCGAGTATATCGGCGAAGTAACCTGCGCGAATATATCGCGAGATAAACCGATCCGGTACAATAAACGTTACCTGCGACGATCCTCGTGTTTGAAAAGGGACGAGAACGAAGGGACGCGAATATTGAAAAGAAATTCCTGTATTCCTTCGTAAATTGAATAAAAATCACCCGAAACGCGTCGTCCACTTGCAGCGAAACGGATTTACTCGAATTACGTGATTTGAGATTTCATAAATATCGCTGGAGTCGTAAATTTTGTAATTTCTTTTATGAGGAATTTCTTTTATCATCTGTCTAAGGTTTTTTGATTTTCAGCCGAGAGCTAATTGATAATTATCTAAAAACGTGTGTGATCCGCTCGAAATTAATTGTAAAGTTTACTAGTTAATTTTTTATAAAAACTTATGCCACGAAAATCAATAGGAAAATAAATTTTTTATTTGCCAAAGAAAACACTTCAGCCAATTGTAAAAGTATCTTAACTCGCGTCGTTCAATCGTAGAAGAGCGAATTTGAATGTTTAGATTCTCTCCAATTAGATTTGAAGTACCTTTTTGTGAAGAATAGATATTTCATGCAACTTTGTCGAAGTAAGGAGAGAAAGCATGAAAAAAATACTGACTTATCTCAGAGTCACGTGAGCTTAATGCTGCCATAGATTATAACCATGGATTTTAATGTCAACGAGAGAAAGGCAGAAGCTGTTGCGTGACCTGATACGCGCGAGCACTTATGCGAGAATTTATGCACAATCGTTCACCGCCAAGTTCCTACGCTGGCGATTATGAAGAACGCTTTAATAGCTCTTTTATTTCAACTCCACGCCACATCGCGGGTCTAGGTAAACGTGACAATAAAAGTATTAATTTATCGTGCAAACGATCCTTGATCTGTCTCTTGTTCGATTTAATTTCTCTTTCAATTTGCAAACGTGAATGTTAAACGCATTCGTAAATAACAGGCAATAGCTAAACCTTTTAACATTTACTCAATCTCCAAGAAAGAACAAAAATGTGAAAAACTTTTATAATAATAATAATTGTATATATTTATAACAATATAGTAATAAAAACGTGAGAAACATTCACAGAAAGTTTTTAATCGTTCTCTTATTCGATACAACTCGCTCCCAACTTCGTTCAGAATTAAATTGAAAATTCGACACTAGCAGCTGACAATAATAATATCTCAGTCTTCGGAAATTAATTGTAGTATAATACGTGCATAATATAAGTATAACGTAATTATAGTATCTTATAAGTAAATAAGAGAACATTTGTTCAACTGAGATCCACTGGGGCCCATAAGGATAAAGGGGTTGAAGAAAACGTAAAGGCTGAAGGAACGTAAAAGGAGGAATTCGTACGTATGGGCAACGCGACGAGGATCGATCTTTTTCTTCGCGATCGAGAATCGCTCGCGACGGATATAAGGATTCCGGAAAGTCGGTGAACGTGCCCCTTGTCAGGCCACCCACGGGCTCCCATAAGTATGGCGCGAGCTACGGCCAGCTACGTTCCATAAATCGGGATTTTATCTCGAAACTGCCGGCCTCTTGCTATGCCGGTGATTGCGTAATCCTAAATTGACCCTCGAATTCGATGCAACGAGATTCGGAGTCCGCGAGGATCTCAAGGTCGCTCAAGCCCTAAGAACGATCATTCGCTCAACCGATTGTTTCAACAGTAATGTACTGGCACCATAACCGTGATAATTTATAAACAATGATATTAATTATCATCGATATGATTAATTGTTGTATTGTAATATAATACTCGAAGTCGAGTCAAAATTCTTTTCTTCAAATTGTTTGTTACTTTATTCCGTATGAATAACCGTGATGATTCGTTAAAAAAAAAAAAAATACTATCGCGTAAAATTTATAATCTTAGTTTCGAATTTTTGTATTCTCTGTTCCAGGAGTCGCGTTGGGTCGCCGACGATGTCAGCGACTGTTGCCGGCAACCAGCAACAGCAACATCCCCATCAAGAGTGGGACATTAATGACTCAAACGTGCCAAGGGTGACTATATTAATTATTAATGTCTTTCGTTCTATCGAGGATAATTAAATGTTCCATTATTTGTACTAAATTATTCCCCCGGTGAATGTCCAAAATCTTGGGAATTTTGACGATATCGTATCTCAATTTTCTCTGATTTCGAAACAAAAAAACAAAAAAAAAAAAAAAATCAATGCTATCGCATACCTACTGCGAGATTTAATTTTTCTGGTTCAAAGCAATTAGATTGATACAGCATTTATTAATTGATCGTAGGTAGTGGAGTACGATCCCTGGTGCGAATGGGCGGATGGTCACGTAAGAAGAGTCTACGGGCCAGACTGTGAAGAAGCGAGAAGACACGCGTCCGGATGGGCGATGAGGAACACGAATAATCACAACGTGAGCATCTTGAAAAAGTCTTGCCTCGGTGTGTTGGTATGTTCGCAAGAATGCATACTACCTGGCGGTGGAAGGGTTCACCTTCGACCGGCGATTTGTGACAAGGTAAGGAAATTGAAATCTTTAGAAAGATACCTTCTCCTTCCAATGATTCTCGATATTTTCTCTTTTTTATCGACTGTTTAAACTAATTACTAGACTTTTAATGGATCGTTGAATTCGTTAAAAAGAAACAATTTACTTTTTTTCGATATTCGTGAATCAACAGAATACTTTAAGCTAGCATTCGACATTTGAAAATAAATGAAGAATCATTAAATTCAAAATAATTTACACCCTTTCGATACTTGCGAATCAAAGAATATTTTAATACCTAGCATTTAACATTTGAAAATTG